ATTATCATACTCATGGATACACATGCTCAAGGATCAATACCTCACCATATTTGGTGCTCCAAATACAAAGCAGCAAAGAAGGTCAATCCCAGCCAAGAATAATTAGGAGCAGGAAATAGTGGGTAGGGACGTTTGAAGATCATCCAGATCAATCCCCGCAGTATGAGGATGAACATCTTTCACTAGATCAGCTTGGTCAAAGCCCCACCTAACAGGGAGATGATCACTTCAAGAATGGGGCATCCACAACTCTGGGCAACCTGCACCAGTTTCTCACCACTCTCATAACAGAAAGTGTCTTTCTTATATCCAGTTTCTATCTACTCCCTTTCAGTTTAAAATTATTGCCCCTTGTCCTAAAGGGTACTAAAGGCTTTGGTAAAAAGTCCTTGCCCATCTTTTTTACAAGGCCCCTTTATAAACTGGAAAGCTACAATAAGGTCTCCTCAGAGCCATCTTGTCTCCTGGTGGAACAACCCCAAACCTCTCAGCCTGTCCTTATATGGAAGGTGTTACAGCCCTCTGACCATTACCAGGGCTCTTCTCAACATTCATTCCAAGGTTCAAGTCTTTCTTGAAGTGGCTGACCCAGAACTGAATGTAGGACTGCAGGTGGGATCTCACCAGAGCAGACTGCAGAGGCAGAATCCCCTTCCTCTACCTGCTGAACACACTTCTGGTGGTACAGCCCAAGGTACAGCTGGCTTTGGAGCCTGTGAGCACACACTGCTAGCTCAAATCCATTTTTTATTCATTTACCAGTATGCCCAAGTCCTTCTCTGCAGGGCTGCACTCAACCTATTCATCACACAATCCATCCACCATCCAGTCTGTGTTGATATCAAGGATTGCCCTGACCCAAGTGTAGGATCTTGGACTTGGCCTTGTTGAACTTCACATCGCTTACACAGGCCTCTGTCTCCAGCCAATCAAGGGATCTTCAAAGATAATTTATTCCAATTCAGTGAGGATGGTATAGTAAGGGGAATATCCAGCAGCAACACCTCTAAGATCCCTATTAAAATAAAAAATTTGACACTAAAGTTTTACTGTGAATTAACAGTAGCTTCAAATCTCTTTAAAAACGTAATTAGGAAAAAGAAATGCTCTATGAAACTAAGGAAAGAATCTATAAAGCTGCAAAAAAGCTAAAGGGCTGTAAAATAAAAATTCTGGAACATTCTGCCTAATGAATACTCACTCTGTGGACGTAATTCTGGATGAGGACACAAACAACATATAGAAAAGAGCAGAAGCATAGTTAAGTCTTGTTGGGTAGTCATTACTTTGGGGAAAAGAAAATAAACATGTGAATCAGTTCTTCCACAAGCAAACTCTCCAAGCTAAATTATTTGGAAATCATCAGACAGAAAGGCAAATCCTGTCTTTAACGGAACATTTCTTTAAAAACGTAATTAGGAAAAAGAAATGCTCTATGAAACTAAGGAAAGAATCTATAAAGCTACAAAAAAACTAAAGGGCTGTAAAATAAAAATTCTGTAACATTCTGCCTAATGAATACTCTGTGGACGTAATTCTGGATGAGGACACAAACAACATATAGAAAAGAGCAGAAGCATAGTTAAGTCTTGTTGGGTAGTCATTACTTTGGGGAAAAGAAAATAAACATGTGAATCAGTTCTTCCACAAGCAAACTCTCCAAGCTAAATTATTTGGAAATCATCAGACAGAAAGGCAAATCCTGTCTTTAACGGAACATAAAATTAAGGATATTTCCACCTTCCTGGCACTGGATGGACAATGTAGCATTCCTGCTAGAAAAGCCAGACTTACTGCGAAAGTCATTTGCACATCCTGATCATGATGAAAATTAGGGCCAGTGTTTTGGAGAAAATGTCCTGAATGAAATAAAGGGGGAAAAAAAAGTCCTGAATGAAATAAAGGGGGAAAAAAAAACCCACCTAAACATTTTTCTCAAAGGTCTCTCACAAACCATGTGACAGGGAAAAAAATTAAGTTCTGGTGCTGGCTAAAACAGCACTCTGGGAGGAAAAATATTTTATCATTACTAATCTGACTAACTGGAATATAATTGTGACAGTTATTTTTTGGCTCAGTCACTTCTACTTAAGTTTGTGTGCATTTGTCTGGCTCAGTGCAGGGTGTTGTTAAGGTACAATCTGAAAACAAATTGTCGCGTATTGCCACTCCTGTTCCCCTAGGTGAGATTTATTTGGCAGTTCTTTGGAAAAAAAAGCCTGCTTCACACTGAAAAACTATATCCAATGCTGGGCACTACTCTGCTCTACATCAGCACTGTCCTTTCTCTCATATTTTCTGTGAAGACAATGATGTCAGGGTTTGTTTTCTAAACTAGTAACACTTTAAAAGATCTGTTCATTAATTGCCAGCAAGATCATTTAGGAAAATTCCTTCCCATCTGCAGCCACAGGAATTTGATCTAAGGAATGATAAATTATATGCTTGTGCAAATAAAAGCATGGGCCTTTGCAAAAGTGTCAATTACAAAAATATGTGGATTTGATTCTACACATACATGAAGGATTATGACTGAGACTCCTCTCTATTTCCCATTTCCTTTTTATTTGAAAGGAATGATCTCTGAAGAAACCACTCCAAATGGACATTTCTCATCTGTTGTTTAACAGTTCTAGAATTTCTCAGTAAGAAAACCCCACCTAGAAGAGCTACAACAGTGAGGGAAAATGCTGCCTCATGACTGAAATGCCCAAGTGGGAGTGAGCCCTGTCTGATGCCTTGTACAATCATTTATTTCACTACATCATAAGGAAAACATCCATAGAATATTCCAGATTGAAATGACAAGACAGCACACTCCTTTCTTACTGACGCAGCTGACAACACAAGCTGCAAAGCAGTGAAGAATCAGGTTTGGCCAGTCATTTACTATTGAACACAGCTTGGAAGTAAGACTCTGAGCATGAGCGTTGATAAGACTGGAACTGTAACATGACCTAATAAAACTTCACAAGTAAACATTAACAGAGGGTTGATTAAATTGCAGCCAAATTAATCACCGTTCTCACTCCATAAAACAACACAATCCAATCTTATGTGTTGAAATTCCCCTTCACAATGAGGCATATTTACTATCACCAAGGACATTACATTGGAAAAATTTACTGTGAAAAGCTCATTTCCCAATGATTTTCAAGCTTAGAGCAAGCTGTCCATTTGAATCACTGCATCTCTGCAGCCTGGCTAACACAGAAACAGCATTCTCACAAGGCACAGTAACAAAGTTAGTTACAGGGATGGTCTTTCATGAGTACATGTGCAGCACTCAGTTTTATAGTCTCTATTTGCTGTTTTCCTCAAAATTAAGTACTTTTTTCCAGCTTGGTGATTAAATAAGCATCCAGCTAGCTCCCCTTCTGGGTTAGTATTTCACTGCTGAGTGGTAGAAGCTGGAATAGTGACTGGATTTTATTCATTTAGCACAGTATCTCAGTGGACTTGGCTTACAACAGCATGATCATTGCTTACTTAAAACACCTCCAGCAGCAGAGCCACAGCAAAAAGGCTTCAAAAGTAAAAACACCATTCTGATAATACGTATTTGCATTTATAAAACATATTTAGACTGCTTAGCATCAAGTCACATGTGTGGTGACCATGCTACTACCATTCCTCAGCTCCAGGACAGTGTAAGAATGCAGCAATGTCTTGGCTGAGACTCAGAATTCCCTTTGTGACAAGTTACAGACTTTTCTTAATGACAAGCCACACCAAAACTAGCAGAAAGGGAACATCTCAACGTCCTTCAAAACAGTTACACCTAATGACACCTTTGAAGGCCTCTGAAATTTAAGGTCGTATAATGTTCGTATACTGCACAAAACAGAGGTCGCCTCACTTTCCTTTAGGCAGGAACAAGTCCTTTCTCATGTTGGAGAGTACACATGAAGATTTACCTGGGCATTGTAGAAATTCTCAACCAAACTTTTGAGATAAAGTATTTATAGCATAACTGCAGCACTTTATCCAATCCCTAAGGTATTCTAAAATTGACCAGTTGACCCCAGATGTATTGGTACAAAGGCAAAGAGAATAAATACTTCCAAACTACTATGAATCTTACTATGTACTGCAAGAAGCAAATTATATTTTGTTTAGCTGCATCTCACCATGGACAAAGCTGTGCATGCCAAGTGGCTCTCATTGCTATACAATATTACATAGGCCTGGTGGAAAAGGTTATATTTGTAGATCAGCAGGGCTGCTCCAAAAGGACACAGATAACCATAGAGAAAATGGAATAGAAACAGAAATATTTCTCTACTCCTAGAAACAGGAATAGAGAAAACATAACGTTCTGCTGTCACAATTTTGTGTCAAAACCTTGGTTATGAGAAGAGAAAGAAAGGTGTATTAAACCACATGTTTTGCAGTTAGGGACTTCTCTGTCTTCCTCTTTTTGGACTGAATTGTTCCCCAGGAGTGTATAAAAGTGACTCTGGAAAGAAAACTTTTCCAAAGATTCCTAAAAAATTCAGGAGTACTCTGCTGCAAAATTTCAGGCACTTTTAATTCAAGCTCTTTTTAATTCAAGCTTCAAGCATTTCTATGGGAATTCCTGAGAGACCGCATACTTAATATATCCAACATATCTGATTGCAAAAAGTCTTTATTTCAGATAAGGGTAGAGGAAGGACATCCTCTAAGATACTGAGGGTTAAGTACAAGGAATAACACATTTCAAGCAATTTGAGAAACATCTCTTTTTATTAATTTTTCAAACATAGATATGTTTGAAAACAGACAATTCAGTAAAGAAGGGTAAATTTTACAAAACTAAGGGTAATTTTACAAAACTGACTACACTAAAGGGCCTCTGGAAGGAACGCTTATAAGCAAGTCTAATTAAAGCTACAGTTAGAACTACAAATAAAGCTACAATTACAGTTACAACTACAACAAAAGCTACAGCTACAGCTACAACGACAGTTACAACTACAACTAAAACTACAGCTATAACTAAATAACTACATTAAGACCCTAAAAGGTTGCTGTCTTCGAGGTGTTCCAAGCAACCTCTATCGGCTTCACGGTCTTCCATGAGGATGTGCAGGTGGAGCCAGTTTCTGCCTCGCAGACTTGGTCACCGTTTTAACTGGAAGGTGAAGGACAAGGCCACTCCGAGATGCGTCTGCACAGTGAATCCACGTGCTGCAGCATCTTCCTTCCGCAGGAGCAGGAAAGCAGCTTCGGGATTGCCAGTGACAAATGCAACAATTGTGCAGAGTTCACGTGGCTGCCATCGGGTGTGATGCCCCCAGCACAGCTCTGTGCAGGGAACTCCTCTCAGTGGCTGGAGAGCATCATCCAGAGGCGATATCGCAGCTGGCCATAAGCTTGCATCGCCTCTCTGTGGGTGGCCGGATCTCGGGCCAGGTGCTCGAAGAGGTTGAGCGGCTCAACCCCTCGCATTGCCGGCGGCAAGCTGATCTCTGCAGGAAGCCTCTCATTGCCTTGCACAAAGTGCTCCAGGCGTTTCAACTGCAGGCAGCGGTGCAGGTACGCCATGACGTCCCACAGCCGCCGCTCAAATTCCCGCCTGCGCCACTGGGACACCGGTACTGTGGTCAGCACGTGCATGACCACAGTCTTCCAGGTAGAGCTGGAAAACCCTGTGCCCCTCAGGATGCAGGTGAAGACCTGCAGGCATTTCAGATGCAAGCTCTGACATGGCAGCTTCCTGGCGATGTGCTGGAAGAATTTCGCCTCTGCCACAGCGTACGTCTCAGGCCACGCTGTGCTTGCAATGATGTTGGCCTTGGCAGGCTGACTGCTCACAAAGTTGATGGAGCCACCTTTCTGGGCCTCTGTGGGCTGGCTGACCACAAAGATGTCGGAGTCCCCTTGGCGCACCCCAAAGAGCATCTCCACCATCAGGCTCTTCTTGCCTTTGCTCAGCTGGAATTGGCAGGACCGGCTGCAGGACTGAAACACCAAGTGCCATGAGTATGAATGAGGCACATGGATTGAGGCACATGGAGCCACGAACATCTCACCAGCTGGTGGAACCAGTGGGAGGTCTTCTCCACGTCCAGGTAGGAGCCGGTGCAGAGTGTCTCTAGGAGGCTGCGCTTGTGCTTCCGCCACAGCTCCTCCTGCGAGTCGTGCACGAAGCACAACAGCTTCTCGCCCAGCTGCTCCCTCTTGCACGTGCACACCAGCTCCACGCGGACGCTGAAGGTCCTTGCTGCCATCTGCCCTGCGCTGTTCAGCTCTAGGTGGAAGGCGTGCCCTGGCGGGGGATTCAGTGGGACCAGCACACGGTACACCCCATCCCACTCGCGGGGACTCCAGCCCTCAAAGGCACTGCCCACACCAATGGCTTCTTGAGGCACTGGGTAGAAGCTATTGCTCACGCTGTCCACAAAGACACGCGTGAAGCTCTCCATCAGCTCAGCTGTCACTGAGCAACCTCTCTCCAGGTCCTCAACAGGCCACTCTACACGGTCAACTAAAAGGATGGCTCCCTCATTCCCAATATCTTCGGTGTCTTCTCCATCTTCAATTCCACCACTGCTGTTTTCTTCCTTGTCACCATCACTGTCTTCATTTTCACTGGCAGCCACATTACCTTGTTTGTCTTCTTTTCTATCCTCCTTCTTGTTTTCCTCCACATTCACATCACCCTGTTCTTCATCCTTGTTTCTGTCATTGCCATCTTCTGTAACTTCCTTATTTTCTTCCTCAGTTTTAGCCAAAGCACCATGGGCTGCTTCATTCCCACGTTCACTGCTATCTTCCTGCCCAGTGCAATCCCTGCTTCTCAGTTCACTGGCATCACTGCTTTCCTGCACCTTGACATCCATGTATTCTTCCTGTCCGTTTATGTTGTCTTCACCTTCATTTACATCATCATTGTTGCCCACCTTCAGATTTGTACCATTGGTGTTTTCTTCACTTCCATCTCCTTCTTCTTCCTGTCCAGCATCCTTGTCTTGCTCCACCTGTACATCCTTGTTTTCTCCTTCATCTGCTTCATCCAGATCTTCTGCCTTTCCAGCAACGTTGCCAGGTTCTTCTTCATCTCCTTCAGCAGTATTGTCTCCTGGCACATTCCCATCACTCCATCCTTCATCTTTCGTTAAGTCATGGCCATTGTCACTGTTAACATCTCTGTCTTCCTTCACCTTCACATCATCACTGCCTTCAATGGCATCATCGTTGTCTCCTTCATCTGCAGTCACAGGACTGCCTTCTCCGTCATTTCCACTGCCGCTGTCGTCAGCCTCCACAGTCACATCAGAGTTTTCTCCATCTTCCTCTGAATCAACACAGACTTCTTCCTCTTCTGTTTCCCACTCGTCATCTCCCGAGGTGTTGCAGAAGCTCTGGTCCTCGCTGCTGCTGCTGCTGGCCTCACAGCTCCTTCTCCTGCAGCTAAACCACAGGCCCAAGAGGAGCAGGAGTCCAGCAAGAACCCAGAATGGCCACTGCTGCAGGGCACCAAAGAGCATGGCTCCCCAGCCCTTGTCTGGGGGCCCCCGCTCCAGCTCCTGCAGCAGCCGAGCCATCTCATGGTCCAGCAGCTCCTGACGCTCCTGCATTCGCCGGTGCGTGGCCTCATCCAGCCCATCCCCAGCCGGCTGGGGGTACTGGATCAGGCTTTGCACGAGCACAAACAGGAACGGTAGTAAAGCCATGGTCTGCAGGAGAACACACAGGAAAGGGTTCAGTGGGGCCAGAACGGAGACAGACAGTGGGGGTCAGGAGCCGCAGGGATGTGGCGGCAGGAAGGAGAGGGCCCCCGGCGGCCGGCAGGCGCGAGGCCTGCACCGCTGCCCGGCAAGCACCGCGCCCTCAGCAAGGCGCTCCCGCCGGGCGCTGGGCCCTGGCTGCGGGGGCAGAACGGCCCGGTAGCGGAGCCTCTGCCTTCTCCAGCCGCAGCCTTCCTCCAGCCCCAGCTCTCCTCCAGCCGCAGCCTTCCTCCAGCCCCAGCTCTCCTCCAGCTCTGTCTCCTCGCTGCTCTGCACTCACCGCTCGCCCAGGCTCTACTGGGGCAGCAGCCTGCGCTGCGGCCTTTTATAGTTGCCCCCATTGTGATGCGGCCCCGGTGCTGTCACAGAGCCCAGGGCGCATCACCCAGCCCCGCCCGCTGTCCCCAGCCTGCTCAGGGAACTCATCATGGCCATGGGCACCCAAAGCCCCAAGAGACACCAAGTGCAGACCCATCACTCGGGAACCTGGGAACGCCAGAGCTTCCCTTGACAAAGCAGGCACAAGTGCCCTGACACACAACTCTTGTCAAATATAAATTTGGGTGACATGACCCATGGATTTTTTCAGTATACAAGTGTAAGCTTTTATTTATATTTCAAGGCAGAACTTTCTGCTATTAATATTGACATTTATTACTGTGGTGGTGCATCTCCCCCCGCCTTGCTCCTTTCCAGGCTGCAGTTTGGTCTGAGAAATACTTGTTAGGCCTTGGCCTTGACACACCACCTGGGATCAGCTCTTTCTTTTTTTGGGCCATCTTAAGCACACCCATTTGTGACAATTACTTTGGGGCAACGTGTGATATCAGCTAATATTTATTTACTGATTTAGTGAGAAATAAAGAAATCCACACTGCTTGAATGATGCACAGGAAGTTGTAACATCATCCAGTCTTAAGGCCTACACTTACTTTACACCAGCACTGTCCTGCCTCACAGATCTTTTGTGAAAATAAAGATGTGTCAGGGTTTCTCTCCTGAATTAGGAACACTTCCAAAGATCTGTTTATTGACTGACGAAAGATCACACACAACCAACTTATGGTTTGCACAGCAGTGTAAAAATCCTCAGGCCCATACAAACTACTTCTTACACCAGAGATGGCTGATCAATAGTCTGGCTGAAGATTGGGAAAGCCACTGTAATCAAGAAATACAAGTTTTAAAATGGAAAAAGAAAAGTCCTTGAAACACAGAACTTCTGAAGCTTAGCTCATTCCACTCTAATGTGCTCTCCCCCAACAACACATAAAGATGTGCCCCTCCTGCCACTTGCTGCAACTGGCTACCCTAGCATGACAGCCATTCTGAGGGAAACTCTTTTTTGAATGGGATGTAGACATGTCTGCATTTGGACGGCATCCTGGGTACAAACGTCCTCCCTTGCTTTTTTCTGGTTGGAGATCCTTGCTGCTGCACATGATGGAGCTGTTTCTTGGGAAGAGTTTCTCTGATGCTGATCACAGCACAGCGGGAGGTTTTTGCTCCCTTGGGCTTCTCAAATTCTTTTTGGATGATCTCTTTATCAGCTGAGGGCTGATACAGCACAGAATGTCGGAATAATTGCCTTTCTCTTCTCCACCCATGACACAAGGGCTGACTGCACTCAGAAAACACAGTTTTCTGAACTATCCTATATAATAACAAACAATGTCTTCTATATTCTGCCATCTAAATGAGGTCACTATTGAACAGCTTCATGTCCCAAGTGTTACCTAGCAGGGAGGGAAGCAGAGGAAGACAGGATCACAGCAGCCACTGATCAGTCATTCACAGGCATCACCAGGAAGAAACAGGAGAGAGCCATGAATTTCATAGGCTATTGTGTTTCAGCAACCCATATCACCCTGCTCCTTTTATATCTCTTCTGATGACAAGCTTCCAGTCTCATCACACTGCTCACCTGAGGCACATGAGTAGCTAAGATGAAGAATAGGAGGGAAAATTTCTTATAACCTCCAGTCACTTGAGCATCAAGCAGACAAGAGAAAACTCTGCCCTACTCTGAGGGAGGTGGTTTGTAGATTCACCTATAGCTAAAGCTATTCTGAAAGGCCACATTATTAGACCCAGAGTGATAAAGAGCCTATGAATTTGCTGAGCCTGGGAAAAACGCATCTTTAAATGAACTCTGCTACTCCTAGTCTTTCCCCTTAGAACTTCAGATTGAAATGCTTAGGACCAGCTAAAGAAAAAAGTAATTTCATTCATGCCCTGGTCAGCCATTTCTCAGTTTCTTGTCCCTCCCAATGCACCAGCCAGTCAAACACAGAAAAAGCAAGATACCCATGCTAAGCTTTCAGTGGAAATACTCGCAGAATCCTCTTGGACTGCATTATTTGAAGGACCTGAGGTCAACTCACTGACTGGGAATCACTGTTACTGCTCCGCTTAGCCTACCGCCTCAGCTCAGCTCAGCTCATCTCAGCTCAGCTCAGCTTAGCAACCTCCCAGCTACTTTCAGCTGCATAAGCCCATGACCTCCAATCAGAAAGGCATGAGTCTTACAAAAAAAAACCAGACATGGGGAATGAAGTGTGGAGATTAGTCCACACTCCGAAGAACAGGCAACACTAAAAAACAGTCTGGCAATAGCTTGTGTCTAAAAGCTGTGTACCTTCAAAACCACCTCAGGGTTTTGGGACTTGCGCTGACTTGCACAAAGGAACCCACTCCACCCTGCAGCAGTGGGCTCCTTCTTTCCAGGCTGGATAGAGACATGCCCTGCATTTTGCAAGCATGTCCAGGTGTTCAGAATGGAACATGCTGATCATATTTAGCACCTTAAGGCATGCAGCTCTTCCTTCTCAAAGTATGTTTTGTGAAATTATAGGTAGTGCTATCCCTACCTTTCCCAACAAATTACCCTCATTATATTGCACTTGCCTTCAAAATACTGCCACTCCTATGTTTCAGACTTTGCTTCCCTCAGAAGGATGCACAAATGTTTGGAGTAGTTGCAAGCACCTACACCTGCAATTTTCAACTAACTGCATCTTCAGAAAGGGTTCTGACAACAGGCCATTTTTTGGACATGAATATGGCATGCTGAGGCAAGACAGATGACTTTGCTACATCTTATAGCCCAGATCTCTGTGGCTGGAGTCACAGTCCTTGAGATAAAATGGAAAAAAAAAATCAGGGAATGTATTTTTGCCAAATGAAAATGAATTAAATCTATTGTGGGCTCTCATTCTGTTTAAGAGCAGAGTTGCATATACCTGAAAAACAGGTTTGTAAAGGAAAGGCTTTCAGACACTACTTTATAAGAATGATAACAGGCACCACTGTGTTGAAGGTACAGATAACAGCCCAATTAAGGAGGGTTTTCTTTCATTGTAGTCACACACAATTTAAAATCAGCTCCTTAGTTGCTTTCCTTTGTCATGTTCATTGTGAATTTTTCCTTCTAGGAAAATGTAAATAATTGTTTTCTATTTATGTTTCTCATTAATTTGCCATTACTTTATAACCATTGTTACTCACAAATTAGATTCTTAACCATTGAAAAGATGAAGAACATCATGGTCTTGGCTGAAGAGAGTGATGTCAAAAATAAAAAAGCATGGACTGTTTTTACTATTCACATCTATTACTATTTTGACAAATAAATTTTATTGTTGTTTGACTTGATATTTGATTTGAATTGATATTGATTTGAATTGATATTACCTATAAATTTCATAGGTCAGCATATTAATTGTTTTTTTCTTGGTTCTGCCAAGAAACCCACTCATTCTAATTCTTAATGACAACACCTTTCATCTTTTTTTATGTCTTGTAAGTAATGAGCAGAAAACAAATTGTCAGTGAAAAATGTTACTCACCTTACTATTCTCTACTTTCCCCCTTTCTTTCTTCCTCAGCACAACTGAAACAGTTTATTTAGTTCAGTAGTCTTGGAAACCAAGATAAAAATTGTCTTAACAATTCTGATACTCATCAGTTATTCAGCAGATATTACAAGACTGTCTTATCTCCTAATTAATCAGGAAAGCACAAATTGCACTTTCCGGGCTTTCCTGAAATGCAGTGAATTTCAGTTTTAGTTGTACATACAGCTTTTTATTCTAGAGAGGCAAGATGATGGTAGAAAGATCTTCCATGGAAACCACAATGCAGATTCCTGACCAACAGGTTTTGAAGTCTCTGATCCTGAAATCTGACTTCATTAAGGGTAAATAGAAACAGCTACAGAGCTACAATGAAGCCAGTGAAGGTCTCCTTGAGTCTGTGCATTGTAATAGATGATGGTAATGGGAGAGCTAAAATAAAATGCTTGCAAATCCACAATATAAAATCATCATATGAAAAGGAAAGACCTGAAAGATTTAAGAGTCCGTAGAAACAAAACCTGATGGCAACTTTGTTTCATCACTCTCAAAACCTATAGAAAAATTTTAAAAATTGTTCTCATGAGGTACTATGAAGGCGAAGGTTTAAATGTGTGACAAGAAAGGAGGAGGTGTTAGGGATGGCATGAGTTTGCTGGATTAAGTGATTTGGCTCCTAAGAAGCTGTGTTGAGTGATGAGGAAGGGACAAGGAAAAATGGGGAATTCCATTCTAGCCAATAAAACATTAAGGAGAAGCATTGCTTGAAGAGTTCATTCTCTTGCAGCTTGATTCCTCCCTGCTGAATGTAAGGGCAATAAATACTTCAGGGTTTTCAGGAGAGAATGCACTGAAAATTTTTGTTCCAGAGTTCCAGGAACTGTTCCATTCTTTTATCAATGATGATGTGTGCTGCATGTAAACAGTTGCCAGGAAGGGTAAAGTGATAAGAAAAGGTTAAATTTACCAATGAAAAAATTGCATGATTAAGGCTTAAAGAAATTCAAGTCTGAGACATTATTTTGAGCTAATGCCAGCATGTTTCCTTCTTCATAGTCTGAGAAGAGCCACCTTGTTGCTCTGCTCACATAT